AAGACTTGATTATAATCCGAATTATTATAATCCGATTAGTATGCTCATATTGCAAAACATTTATCCTTGCTTCATAAATAGCCGTCCGAAAACGAAGAAAACAGATTCTCGTAACATGATAAAGTTTTGTCTTTAATAGCGAAATTGCAACAAAATATATCATACATAGCTATCACAACATAGATTTTACGTCCAATATAAATTATTACTCATTAATCTTAGGATATTTTGAATCTTTATTAAAGCATTAATTATCTATGCGTTAAACCATTATTCTACGTCTATTCATCATATCAATGGTATCGAAAAATATCGTACGTACGCGCAATTTATCCCATTTTTCAAAGTGTCAACTTCAAAGTTTAAAGTTTTAAAAGAGCGAAGACCACACCTTATATTAATAAATAGCCGAATAAAAAAATTGATACACGCTAGCCATCAACTTTATCATAACATTTTATCTTATAATATACGCACATTTAAAACATTCAAAGTTTAAAATTAATTCTTTTTTGAAAAATTAGATCGCTACATCTTTTATAGCTCATATGCTTTTCACATCATTGATAACTCTGTACAATAAAGTCTCAGAATTATCGTAAAACTGACATATGATATTTCTCTTACGAAATTTAGAATTAATTTCTCTTTAAATTATAATATTTATTACAAATTTCTATGCTTAAGTTTAAATTAAAAGTCAAAATCCATTTCAAATCGAATACAAAGATAATATTCCATTATTTACCTTTTTGAAATTTAATTCCCGAAAAAAATTCTTTATTTATTAATTTCTGATAATAATTGAAGAATTATTAACGTTTCAAAAATATTTTTATTAATAAGAATCACTTTGAAATTTTCGTAGATAGATGCATATCAATTTTACCTTGCTATTTTTCCCTCAACCTGTGTGTGTATAATCCTTGTAGGTATTATATAAAGTAAAATACACACAATGTATTATCTAATAAGAATATATACCTACAATCCAATCTATATGCAGATAACGTAATATAAAATAATGACTATATCAAATGTTTGATCCGTACATAAAAAGCAGATTTTATCAACAGGTTTCCGCCTGTACGTTCTTTTACCCTTGAAATAAATTCATTGCTAATCAAAAAGCTTCGAAGAAAAATATCAAAGGAAAATACAACGTTACTTGGTAAATAAACGAAAAAGTAATTGGTAGCATAATACTGAAATATTTTTTACGTTCTAATCCGTAAATGATAATATTCTGTATATGTGTATATTGGTTTAAAAAAAGAGCACACACACATCCGAAAATCCGCGAAATGGATTGTACTTTTCTCTGCCCCTATTATATAATATATATATTATTATATATTATTATATAATAATATATATTATTAAAATATATATTATAATAATATATATTATATAATATATATTATTATATAATAATTGCAGAGAAAAGTACAATCTGTTATATAATATATATAATATATAATAATCGGCTCATAATAGTCAGCAATGCAAAGTACAAGCGAATATTTGGCACGTAATTTAGCTGCAATCACATTGATAAAATTCCAATGAAATGGATTACACCGGCTCAAATGCTTTAAAACTGCTTTACATTTCTAGTGTATTTGTATTCTTCGCGTGGGTGCATATGAGTTATACTTAGAAGAGAAAAGAGCGATCTCTATCCTCTTTTGTCTACTTTATTAAAATAAATATATAGAAATTAAAATTTTGTATACATCACATATTTGAATAATATTGCAAAAATTATTTTTATAATTTTTGCAATATTATTCTATAAAGCGAAAATTTTAATGTAAAATTGAAGTTTTTGCTTTATAAAATAATGAAAAATAATATATGGTCTCTCAAAAATAGTTTATTATATTTTTTATTTTTTAGACGCATTTATTCAAATATAAACTTTTTAGGCTATATTAATTTTTTAAACAAATATTGATGCGTAATTTCGCTGCGTTTGCTGGTACAGGAGATGTACCCCAATTATTATCTAATATCAAAAGTCATTGAATAATTGTAATCCTAAGAGAAACAATAAAATTTTTATTTAAAAGTCATTGATATGTAAAAGAATATCTCATTTTTATATTAATAATTATATATTAATATCCGATGTATTTAGCTTTGCGACAATATCATTTAAATTTCATGAAAATTCTACGGTTCAAGTGTCACCGGTGCTCCAATAAAGAATCCATTATTAGGAGAGTGGACACAATAAAATTTAATATTTTATATCCTTCAAAAGAATATCTTTTGCCGAATAAACTATATTAAACGGTACGGTACCAACCTGGCGAGAGCGCAACGATAGCGGAGATTGTCGTCGCGGTCGTCGAGAAGACGGTCAGAAAGGACGACGCTTACAGCTTCGTCGCGCGCGTTCACCCCTAGAACTTCTTACTGCGCGATAGACACGCTGTAAGAGGAAGGAAATCGCGTATTCTTGCACGGGGATGATCCCGAAATGAAATCACGAATTTCCCGATTCGGTTTTATACAGCAACGGAGCGGAATCGCGCGACGGCGGGATGGACCGCGGCGACGAGTTGGATGCAGGCGCGGATGGTCCACGGGCGACGATCCTCGGACGAAGAGGACGAAGAGTTGCGAGTGACGCGAGGGGTAACCGCCGGCGAGAGAGGCTTCGGGCAATACCGTGCGACAGAGTGGCGAGAATCCGTCGGAGATCAGCCCTTAAATACGCGCCGCATTCCAATTGCCATGCGCGCGTTTTATCGGGGCGCGAGAGAGAAATCATATGTTGACGCGTAACTTCTCGCCCACTTCGCCCTTTCGCATGTCCCTTCGGTTTCTCCGCCTGTCTTCTCGCAACGATCGAGATGTGACGCGCATTTTCTTATTCGCGACGTATGAAATAAAAATTTCACGTTAATCTGACGCGGGGGCAACTTACATAACGCAACGTTTGACGCGTTGTCGCCAAAAGAACAATTATGATCGCAAACTTGTTGCTTTCGCGAATGAGACCGCTAAGCGATATGCATATAAATTTTATGAGGCTGCCAAAGAAAGATATGATTTGATCTTTCTACGATAAAGTACGACACGCGAGAGACGTAACAAAAATCATAAATAATAACAATGATAAGGTAAATAATAAATCTCATGTGTAAGAGATAAAAATGATAAATAAAAAGGAAATAATATATTAATGAAATCATAATGGAAACAATAAAAATTGTATGTGGCTTTTGTTATGTATTCTACACCGTATTTTTTATTTATATTTTTTATTATAGTGTAATTTTGAGTTTAATTTTTTAACCCTGTCACACAACTATAAAATTGAAGAGTCAAAAGAATGATTGAAAACTTTTTAATTATTATTAAGAAAAAAACGCAATGTAATATTTATATAAAGAAATATATTCTTTATAAAAACGTCATCATTTGTGATTATTTGTCGTGGGATTTACGTCATCATCAAGACCTCACTTTCGAGAAATACTCTGTCTATAAACTTGCGTGGAATATGTAGTAAATAGTATGGAATTTATACGCGACCATATACATAAAAAACTACATTCGAGTATATCTTATTTAGTATATTGAAAATTTTCTTTTGAGTTGATTCCACGTGTCTTCTTACTTTATTAGATATAATAAAAAAATAATATATAATTTAATTTATATATTTTTCTATAATTTATAAAAACTTTCAACGCAATCTGCGAAAAATTTAGTATATAATAAAAAAAATACATTAAAAAAAATTAATCTGTGTTATACTCTTACTGTACTTAGAGATCTCTTTTCCACCCAGTTATAATTTTTATGGTTTTTTGATTCAAGTATTTGTCATTTGAAGCAATAAAGCATGCATTTTGAATACGATAATAAAATTATAAAGTATATAAAAAAACAATAATCATATAATAAAATGCTATAAATTTTCGAGAAAATTTTTACGAGTAAAGTTTCACATGTTTAATCTTTTTTTATTATATTTAACAAAATTTATTATAAATATTTAATTTCAGCTTAGAATATTAAGTGGGTTATTAATTTAATTTTAATACTATATACACGACATTGACAATTATTAATGATATCAGTTTAGACGTAGTGGCATGAATATTCATAATGCTTCATTTGTCCGACATTGTCATGAACATAATGTACATAATATATAAGATGATAAAAAAAGATTAGATTAATTGAAAAAAATTGATCTTGTTAGAATTATACGATCTTGGTGATACAAGCGATTTGCTCGCTCCTATCTCTTGCCCGCTATGTATACTTTAAAAAGAAAAGATTTGATCAGCAACTTTAAGGATTTAAGGGAAAAAAACTATACAAATTTTGCATCCATTCAAGGATGCAATGGATATTGAATATAAATAACGATTAATATCAGTATCAGTAGAAATGTCATCGATTTATTCATATTATCGATTATTATTAGTAGAAATTTCATTGACACGATTCTATCCTAGATTTGTGTTTCAGCGAAGGCGTCAGGTGCGATACGATTAACGATTTTTCGCGACATCTATACAACAGATTCTCCCATGTAAGCTCGAAATTCGCTGTTATGTCGCTTTAGCTATATATTATCTAAATACTGATAATAGTGCTGGAAAATACACTATAGAATTCGAAATGCAATGACTGGTTCGTTACATTAACAAATGCATTATAGCTTCTGTTGATACATAAAGATAATATAAAATTTTGAAATAATATTTCTCTTGAATATTGGAGTTAATTTATATTCACATTATTAATTTAATTTAGTTGTATAAATCTATAGATTTATTTAGTTATCCGTTAGTTATCCGTTTAGTTATCCAAGCAAGAAATGTCTCAACATCCACATATATACAGGGTGATAAAAAAAAACATTTAATATTTATATGGTAGATAGGATACACCATACTGAGTAAAAAAAACCTACGTGTCGCATGCAACGTGAGAAGAAGATAATCTGTCTAAACCTTTATCTTGATATTTACAGAAGGCGTTCCATTTCCATACACGCTTGGCATCTTCTTCTTGCGAATCACAAAGATCCGCATTCGCCGGTTGATAACAACTGACTGATTGCCGATGAAATCTTCTATTATGAAGTATGTATGGAAATTGAATTGAGGATATTCAGAACACGGTTTATAAACATTGAAGTAAACATCGCTTGCGACACGTAGAAGCCAATAAGTCAATCATGATAATAACATACAAAAAATGTTAGATCTAAATATCTTAGAAACGATTGAGTTTCGATCATATTTACTAAGGTTTTTTTTACTCAATATGGTGTATCCTATCTACCCTGTATATTCTTCGAATCTTGTATATTTCAGATCTTTTCTAATCAGAGAATCGTCAATATTTTTCCTAGATATTATTTTAATAATAATAATGATTTTAATAATAATTATATAAATAAACAGATTAACTGTTTTCTCGTTTTTAATAAATAATGAAATATATATATCATGAGAAAAGATATATTTCCGATTATGTGATCAAACAGAGAAATTATTTTATTTCCGGATTCAATATTATTTCTTCTTATCAACGATTTTGGGACGAAAGCTATACGCGATTGTTAATGAACAGTCATTTCTTCGAATTTTATCCCAGCGCTTTTTAACGATGTCCTTGTGCGTGAACAGGAGCAATTGCTTCAAATAAAATAGCTAAGTTATGTGTGTTAAGATATGCATTGACATTCATCTCTTGTCGATCACGTAGAGAAAACCGCATAGCAATTCGATTCCACGAAAGATCGAGTTCTATGTAAAACGCTTGGTTATTCCACTGATCGAGAATTCGTTTTGCAGCGTACACTTTATACGATTTACATTTTCATCACTTACGTGACGCTTATGTCATCACGTTATACATAAATCGAATTATCCGTCCTATATATCTTGCAGCAAAAAATGCCTCGATATCGTTTTGATAATGATAATTTTAATAACAATAATCAAAGTACAGACTCTTTAATATTAAACAAAATAAACAATAATCTGATCGAGTAGTAATTAAGAGTCAGCGCGGGAGATAGTGCGCGTACAATATTTGTGATTTATTACAATAAAACACTCATCGATTTACATAAACGTTTCGACCCCTTTTTTGGGTCTTCATCGGTATAATATTTAAAAAAAAAACCAAAATCAAACCTATGCCATATTATTCGCAATTAAGCAGACTTAGCGCAATGGAAACCGAGAATCATTGAAAAAAACCCAATTGTTATGTTAATCGGAAACTAATTAAATTTTCGATTAACATAACAATTGCGTTTTTTCCAATGATTCTCGGTTTCCATTGCGCTAAATCTGCTTAATTGCGAATAATATGACATAGGTTTGATCTTGGTTTTTTTTTAAATATTATACTGATGAAGACCTAAAAATAGGGGTCGAAACGTCTATGTGTCGATGTGTGTTTTATTGTAATAAATCACAAATATTGTACGCGCACTATATCCCGCGTTGACTCTTAATTGCTACTCGATCAGATTATTGTTTATTTTGTTTAATAACAATGTTCTCTTATTATAAGAAGATAAATAATACAAAAATTAATTAAATATTATTATAAAAAATATGTTTCCGATTGTAATAATACCATCTTAAATTGCTTGCCTTAATTATAAATAAACATGTAAATTTATGTAACTCTCTGTAACATTTGACATTTTATAATCGAGAATAGAATTCTATTTGTTAGAACTTTTCGCAAGACAAATTTCGCTTATACACGAAATACTAAAAAACTACAGTGTTGGAATAATTACTTTTTCTTTCCGACATACGCGATATTATACGGATATTAAAAGCGCATACTGCAACATTTGCATATCATTTACACACAATATATACGTATATCACGTCACATTGTAAAAATGGTCGATAAATTTTGATTCTTTTTTCAAAATTCTCATAGTAAATTTATAGTTTGGCTTACAGTAATTGTTATATAAATCATTGTCAGAAGTTCACTCCAGGAAAGGTTGAATAAAGTTGAAATTATGGATTATTATTACCCTTATTTCATGATCAGTTCTTTCATGCGTTATTTTGTGAACAACTGTCATCGCATAGAGATCATGTTTGACAATTTAACAATTTTCTCGTGATATCACCATGTCGAAAACTAAAGATTAGCAGTTATATAAATTAAGAACGAGTTTGATATTGTCTTCGAAGAATAAAAAAAGTGTGTGTGGTGCTTCGAACTTTCACCTTACAATTAAAACTATGACCTGTGAATTATTGTTCACTCAGGAAGCGTATCATGCATCACGTCAGGGACGGCAGAACAGAAAATTCCCACGTATGGTCGCGGTCCCTCGTAGGGGGAAGGGGGAAGGGGGCAGGCGAGTTTTAATTTTTTTTTTGCCGTAAACGGTAAAAATAACAATTTTATTTATAGAAACTTTTTAAATATATTTATATGCACTTATATATATTATTATTATATATTATATATTTGTATATATTTGTTAAATATATTTAACGTTTCAAATTAAAAACATTTGGTTAGAGACAAGATGAGATACTTAAAGATTTAATGCTTCAAATTAGTGCAAACGTTGCAATACATTTCGAATTTTTCGAAATCCAAATCCAGCTTCTTTGTCATGTCGTAATAAATATGTAGAATCGCAATGTTATTAAGACAATCTTGCAACTTCGCTTTAAGATACAATTTCATGTGCAAAGTGCAAACTTGTGCAGCAAAGAGGTCACGTGATCGAAATAGACGAATGATTGACGACGTCGTCGAAAATTTTTCTTCGTTTAATTTTGAAATTTCTTATAAAAAAACAAAAACGTCAACCTAAAATTTACGTATGGTACGCCATATGCTATAAAATCTCAAGTATGGTATGTACCATACTGACCATACTGGTTCGTCCGCCCCTGCATCACGTGATTTGCGATTCTACATATTATTTACTTTTCAGTCTTGATAAAACAACTTTAGTTTTCTACGATACACGCGTCTTTACGCATCTCTTTTCCGCAAGTGTGTCCACCCCTAAGTACGTATTATGTATATTTATTATCACCGCATATATATGATAATAATAAGAAAAATCTGTGACAAATGAAAAAAGTTTGATGAAAAAAAGAAAGCATTGTGCAGTGTAAAAATATAATAATGCAACAAATTATGTAATTTTTTATTTTTTTCATTTTATTATATTATATGTTTTTTATTTATTTGTAAATAATTTTTGATAAGAATTTTTGATTGGAATATAACGTCATATTATATAATGTTACAGATATTTTAATCTTAAACATTTTAGATCACTGCGATCAGCATGTTTCATTAATTTATTAAAACTTTTCGTAAGAATTTAACAGATTTTACTTGTTCATATACATATACGTAACGTTCATAAAAGCATTATTTCTGGCTTAACTTACAGAATATTAAAAATTTAGTCCCTTATATATCGTGGATGGACCCCACTTTGTGGATACAGAGACGTTACTATTACTACAAATTATAAGTATCCTGTTCGGATACTACTCGGATTAACAGCCACGAAATGCATCAGATAAATCCCGATTTCTTGAATGCTCAGTCCGGGAATTCAGAAAAACCATCTCTCGAATCATGCATCATGCGTTCAAGAATAACACGAAAAGGAGATGGCAATGGTACGCATTTTTTATATTTTTCTATAGATTAAATGGATTAGACGTAGAAAAATATTCTTAATCTTTAATTCTCCACATATATTAAATTATGAAAAGCACACAAGAAAGAGAGAGAAAATTATCTATATACGCATGTGTAAGAATAAAAAAGGCTTTTATCTTTAAAGTCTTTTATCTCAGAAATACAAAAGAGCTAATTGTTTAACAGAGAAAGGAATCTTAGGTTCTAAATATTCATTCTGTGGCATAAAATATTCTTGATATATCAGATTTTTATCACGAAGGAAATTATTTATTATCAGAATTATTATAATTCTAATATATAATTAATTTAATTTTTTTTATATAATAGCTCATCAGATATATAAGATTTGAAAATGTTTTAAGATACGAAAATGTTTTATGCGATTCATGCCAATTAAGATATACGAGTTGCAATCAATATGTCAAATATTTTTTAAACATTTTACACAAATTTTATTACAATGTACACATGGTATAAAAATATCAAGATGTCTCCCATAGGCAAAATAATTTTATACCATAAAAAAACATAAAATTCTACTTTTAATCTATGTTAATTTTTCAATTTCTTATTTAAAATTTTGAAGTATTAACATAAATATTTAATTATATTTTTGAGATTTTTCTGCGTGTTTGCGACTTAAAGATAAAATATTTTATTTGCATATTCTTATTTGCTCAATTATATCGATCGCAACAGATTTCATTGAATACGGAGTTTACATCTGTTGGCGATGCTTATCGGTCAAATTAAATTATCAGGCGCATCTGCTGTTTTCCCCTTGCTTCATAATATCATTTTCTATCTCTGTTTTTATTTATCTCTATTAATTTTCCTGACTGTCCGTTATAAACACAAAAACCACACAAATTAACTACAAATATAATCATCTATAGTTTAAAGAATCTACCCTTGTATAAAACGGAATGTTCCAGATAATCAATTTTTTTTTTAAATTATTACGCGCAACCAATTTTTTATTTATTCTTTAAACAAATATTTAATACAATAGATTGCATAATTATGGAGAAAAAATATTTTAAACAAAACAATTTTATTATAAATATTCGAAATTGTAAACATTTTTATAAATAAGTCCTTTTTAAGAACATTACGTTATTATTCCTAAGATAATTAATTTTGGAATCAATTTAATTTAGCAACCTATTTAAAAAATTATATGTAAGTAATAAATAATATTACTAAATTACTCACGCCGCACACCATCGCTTCGTCCGTCGTTTGACGCCTTCCCAAACTTCCTCTTCTTCTCTTGCTCATCTTTTGCTGTTTTCTTATAACATTCACACTTGTGAAAATGTGGTTAATTATATTGAATATAACGATCGCGACACTTTGCACGGCACTCGATCACAAGATAATCACACGCGCGCGTACTTTATTATATCGCGACGAGAGAATAATGCGAAAAGTATGATTCGCTCGACACTCACGAAATCAAAATTATGCGTCCCTCACTTCAACAATGCTATATATCGTTAATATATATATATA